TTTCTCCAGAGATCCAGTTTGAAATCGGTCCTATACCAAGTTGTATTATACATGCACATCACACTAATTTAGTGTTGCTCATTTTTCTTTGATTTTCAGTCCAGTAGCAGAAATACTCCAGAGAAAAAATTTAAACAATCAGAAATCCCGAAGACAACTTCATAGTCTTCAAAACAAAGTCTGACTCAGTTGAAGCAAATTAAGTACAAAGAAATGAGTGAGTGACTTAAATCTTTCATAGTTGCATAGCAATCTTTTTAAAACATATTTTAAGTGTTATATATCCTTTTTAGGTTTTTGTGGCACTAGTGGCTTTCACTAGTAGATGAACAGAGAGAAGGGTAGACATGCAGCAAACCAGGAGCAACTGCATTGAGTACTGTGGCCTCTGCATATGGTGTGCCTGCTCAACCGCTGAGCTGTGTGCCCCAAAGTGCTATTTTCTGTTAAAATATGCACACAGTCAGTATTTATTATCAACTTGGGGCACAGCTTATATTTGCAGATAGGGAAATTGGCCAAAGGCCATCATAACCAGTTCTGATATTTAGCCCATAGATCTTTCGAAAATTACTTGCTGTTAAGATAAAAACAATGTGACACAGCATTAAACTGGAGAAATCTGAAAACTTTTTTCTTGTACAAAATGGCTGGTAAGTCAGAATTTAATAAATTACAATTACCCCAGAATGGCTATACCGAATATCAGTAAAAAAAAAAAAAAAAACTGAAAAGATTTTCATAACCTGGGTATTTCAATTTGCATTGTATTAGATTTTCTTCACAAGCCCAGGAGCTTTTCGTCCAATCCCGGCTGTAAAAATTCAGCTCTTCAAAATGAGAGAACAAAAAGAAATTAGGTTGTTTCTGATCATCTTTTAACATGATAGTTCGCTCCTATGAATGGTCCAGACAGAGATATTAAAAACATTTTTTTTCACAAGTTTCTTCTGATGTTTAAAATCCAGTTATGACAAAAGTGTTGCAACTCGATGAAGGACAATAATATGAGAGCGGTGCCAGGCGGTCTATGTTGTGATTGTGCCACAGTTGGCACATTCTTGAAAGTCTGATGGCAGACCTTTAGCTGATCCAGCCTGGTCCTGGCAAAGACTTGCAGGTCTGTAAAGATTGAGACAGAAGCTACTTCCTGTCCAATAGTAGCTTTCAACCTAAAGAATGTATTATTAGAAGCTGCCATTCGGTCTTTTAAGGATCGGCTGCAGCTTGAGCTGTTTCAACCTTAACTCTTTCACAGTCCCTGCTCTTAACACTCTGACATTTAGTTCTCTAGAGAATGGTTTCACATTGACTTGTCAGGATCAACTTGTCTGATGATCATTCCCCAATAAAAAGCTCCATTTTCCAAGTATTGGCTGCTGAAAGCTATGCCCCACAGGAAATAGGGGTCAAACCGCCATGTTAAAAGGCAATTTACAGGCTTGTGGTTCTTTCTTAAGCCATAAGATTTTCGGATGGTCGAGTTATTATTACAGCCAAGTTGTTTTGGTACACCAGCCACCCACAAAGGTCACAGTCTGTTCTCATGGCAGTGAGATCAGTGGGACTGGACAGAGATCCTGCTCGAGGATAATGACATCTGTCTTCAATGTTCAGTGCCAGTTCCATCAGATCAAACAACCTTTTTGAACTAATTTCACAGCTCCATCAGGAGCTAGTTCTCATTGTTTTATCATGTTGTATCTGAATGGAATTAAAGAATACATCTTCTAGCACTTTTAAACAAACTGTTGAATTGTTTTCTCTTCTCTTTGCTCATGTACGTAGTTTTCTATTGGCTGGATTTCCAATGTGGGCAATGTGTGAAGTTCAGTTCATTCAGATATTTTAACACGTTTAACACTTTCATTTTCAGGAAGTAGAGGAATGAAAATGACTGAAAAGCAACCATCAAGGCAACATCTGATATTTAAATCATTTTTAATAATCTTTTTACCATCAAGTTAGCACAAAGGTTTTTTTAATGTTATTTTGCTCTTTAACCTGTTATTGGATAGTGAACAACACATAATAATAGATAGTTGCAACACACTGAAAACTTAAGTTGTCTTAGAAAAGGGGAAAGCTTAACCTATAGCCTAGCTTAGCTTAGTTTAACCCGGTTTAACTTAGTTCATTTAACAGGGACAATGTGCAAATAAAGGGGTATAAAAGATGCTTTGCACCAGATTTAGCTTAAGCTAGTTTCTATTTGTAGCCCCAGTGGCTTCTTTTGGTGGATTCATGGATAGCTAAATGTAGTAAACAGTACCTGGATGCTGATCAGTCATTGTTGGTTGTTTTAAAGCAATAAGATCATATTCTAGCCTCATAATACTTCCTAACTAAATTTAGTCCAACAGTTGCACTTGAAGAAATGAAAAAATACAAATTTAGGTAAAATACCGTTTCTTCTTTTCCACTCCAGCCTACTGTGGGGTTAAATAGCAGAGAACACTATCAGACACTTTGGCTGCAGCTGTCATAACAACTGCACAAGCATGAATCTAAGGTAATACATGCAAATTAGTTTTTTAACCGACTTCAGCACAATGTTTCTTCTATACTCCTGAAGAATTTACTTTGCTTTTTTCCTGTCAAATCAATAATCAGACTCCAGTTCATGTTCACAGAGGTATTCAGCAAAAAAAAAAAGAAAAAAAAAAAAGAATCAACCCTAAACACATCTTGTCAAAGAGGTTCATATGTGCAGCGTAATGAAGGTAGAAAATGTGGAAGGTAAGCCAAGGACCCTGTGTGCTACTTTGTTCCACCTTGAAGTCTTCCTGTCTCGTCTGTAGTCACTCCTTTGGCAGGACATGATCAAACATATTCAAATGCTTACATTTGCCGGAGCCTCTCCTGCATCTCATTACGCATGCAGGTCTCTATGCAACCTTGAACGATGGTTAAAATTCACAGGGAGGGTCCTGGATTTCCAAATGCAATTTGCACCTTTTCTCTCGGCTGCACAAGTACTTTTTTACAAATTGCTTCAAACCTTAAATGTGATAGTTGTACATCTGTCCCTTTATAGATGGCACACTTGAAAGTTTTCAAGCAGCCTTTTGAGAAGTCCAGAGACAAGAGATAAAAGTGAAAAATAGCCTCTGGTTTTAAGATGTAACAGATGTCAGCGAAAAGCCGCAAAGTGGGGGTGAAACGCTTGTACATTATTAAAGGCAGCAGAAAGACATGAAGGAAGTTAAGTATGTCTCAAATACAGATTGACCTACTCGTTTTGATGCTGCAAGTCTTGAAATCATCTCCTTTCCTCCTCTTTTCTTTTCATCGAGAAAAGTCAACACATCCATTTGTAATTCTCTACAAAAAAAATATGTTTAAGAACAGAAATACTTTACCCCTTCAGAGTTATAACTGTTTTCATAGATTACATAAAAATATTGAGCCACAGTGGACGTTGCAAAATGTGGAAAAAGAGAAAGTCTGGACAATAACATGGTGTAAAATTTAATTGCCTTGAAATGTACTGTTTCATAATCAAACTGTACTTTTTAATAAAATAAATAAATAAATAAAGTTAAAGGTTCAAGTCAAGGCCCAAGCTGTCAGTACGTCCTGCCTCCTTTCACTTTAATTTAATGTGTTTTATTTAAATATACATGCTCACAGGCACTATAGGGGAGATTGTATTTTTGTTTTAGTACAATACTCTTTTTTTTTTTCAAACTAAACCTTTGGTTTGTGTTTATATAATTTTTGATGTTTTGTTGGTTTCAATTCACACTGAGCTTCTCTACCTGCCTGCGGTTTAAACACTCTTATCAGGTTTCAACCAGGGATCTTTACGCATTTACCAGACTTTCTTTATTGTCCTAACAATTCCTCTTTATTAAATGTAACTAAAATATGTTTATTTTTTTAGATTGATCAGAGTACTGCGGAACCTTTTTGCTGGAAACCTCTGACATCTTTTGTCCATGGAAGGTAAATAGGACGATGTATTTACTCTTCAAAATCAAAATACAAGAGAACATAAACTTACTTGAACAGAGTGCTTTCAAAAAAATTGTCCCCTCAAATATTTGATAGGTTTTTGCTTTTTTGTCACACTTTAATGTTTTAAATAAAATGCAATACTATTGGTAGCCTGACTAACTAGAGAAAAAAAAAACAATTTTCAGGAAATTAATTCATTTCTTGAGGAAGAAAATTTCCAAACCAACCAGATAAACAGGCATGTTTTACTACTTACATCCAATTGTTGATCTAAATCAAATGTGGCAAAACAAAAGCAAAGAACAGAAACTGAAAGTATCAAATAAAACTTCACAAATCTGTTTGTATGATTTTGTTTATTCAACTGACAAACACAAGTTTTAAACCATTTTTACATACAGCATCAGCTCTCACAGCTCATATTACCCACAATCCTCGAAACACTACAACAAATTTTACATGCAAATCTAAAAGTTACAGTATTGAAAAGTGGAAACAATGTAGTCAGACAGAAAAAATAAGGCAAAATGTGCTGCTCTACATCATTAATAATTTAAGTGTAAAAAAAACCCAAAACATTAAAAAGTAAAAGATTTACGTTATCTGACGGGTATGTATCTATGTGTTGTCTTCATCCCAGGTCTTTAATCTGCGTACTCAATATCACAGCCTATACATATGACAATTCAATGCCCAAACATATTTAATAAAGTATATACAAGAGTGAAATTATAACAGTTTTTAGTATCGGCAATAGACCTCAGTTGGTGCTGCTACTATAAAACGTTTCTGTTGATATTAAGTGAAAGGCACACAAAGGCAAAGAGTGGAGATGTTACAGTGTTACGGAAAGAACTGCTACACAAATAGCAGGCTGCTGGTCCTCGAATGGTTAAAAACTTCTTTTTGTTGCTAATGTTAAACGTCTTCATTGCTGTGATATGATTGGTTCAAATCTGTGGAGAAAAAGGGCTACGGAAGATACAAACACAAGCACAACGTTCCAAGGTTCCATCTTACAAAAAAAAAACATTTTTGAAAAATCTGTCAGCAGTTCTTCCATCTCACTGTAGTGACAAAGTATACACACTGTGCATCGAAAGGTAACAGACTCGACCTCATCGTTTGTCTCATTGTGAATAATAAAGTGCTGCTAAAACGATAAACTTTCTCAAACTCAGAGAGAAGACACGGCTTCTCACAAGGGATACAGCAGAGATAGACAGCGATTTGTGCAGCAAGGCAAACTGGGTTTGTTTCAGTTTTTCTGTTGTTTTGTTTTACAAACATCCATGCAGAGTAAAAGACATGACTACAGAATAGCAAGAAAGCAGAAACATTCTGCTCAATTCAGTACTGGTGGCAAAACAGTAACAAACACTAACATTAGCAGAACTTGTAACAAAACATAATCAGGGTAACAGAAATCCTTTCATTCAGTTTGGTCTACTTTACTTCCGTCTCTGAACGGCAAGCAGCTCCAGACAGAGAAAAACACGTTTGTTTGTTTGTTTTTTTTAAGCTATTGCACCAAACTCTCAACTCTTGGACATTAGAGAATTTAAACTGAAGCTTTTCAGTCCGGATGAGGTCAGCCTGACCTGAAGTATGTCTAGTGACGGCTGGGGAAACACCGTTGATTCAGGTGGACACTTAAACCTAAGTGAGGCATTTTTTCTGGTTTTATGGCAGCTGATTGTGAGTGATTTAATTAAATTGTTGCAGCTTACTCCATAGATGGGGTATTTCCAGTTCCTTTTCTTAAAACTAATGTCATTAGTTGTGAAAGCAACTAAAGAAAGAACACAAATATATTTTTAAAAATGACATTTTAGGTATGAAAGGTCTTTATAAGCAGAATAAATTTTGACATAGTAACTAAACAAGGAGTTAATTTAAGAAACATTCAACTGCTTGCCATCACGGTTTGTATACTAAGTAACTTCATTCTGTTTCGTCGGAGTGGAACATTGGGCACCTTTTGTAAAGTAATAGCCCCATCTGGTGGAAGAACACAGTAGCACAACGGCACCGGAGTCTTAAAAAGATACAGCAATACAGTCTGGTCGATAAAAACAGGAACCTCTCCACAGTGAACTTGTTTTTACAGTTATAGCACTCTTTAACATTGAGATAACAAACTCAATGTGCTGAGTTTATTATCACATCGATCAGTAAAGAAAATATCAGAAAAATACTAAAAAAATAGGTGGTAGAAGCTGGTGGAGTGATGCAAATACATCTTTTCCTTTAAAAAATATTTCCTCCTGATCTCTCGTCAGCTCCTCTCTTCCCTACAGTCAGGAGACGCCTCAACTATAATATATATCTGTTTTACGCAATAAGAGCCAAGCAGTAGAAACCGTCGCTTTGGAGACGATGTCCGAAATGTGGTGACAGAGTAAAAATTAGTCCGACCAGAAGATCTGTCTACTTCTAACCAGCGGACCCTTCCAGCTCGCACTCGGCCTGCGAAAAAGAGTTTGTCTGAAACATTTGCAGTCGTTCGCTCAGAGCTGAGAGTCCGCTCCTAGGCTGTTCAGCTCCTCCGGCGAGTGCTTCTCTGCTCCTCCGCCGGCCGTCTGGCGGAAGCCTGCGGCGATGTCGTCAAACGTCCGGCCCCGGGTCTCTGGCACTTTGAAGTATGTGAAGATGAAGAAGAAGAGCAGCAGGATAGTAAAGATGACAAACACGTAGGGGCCGCAGACTTGCTGTGAAGACATAAAAAGAGAACAACAGTTATCACTTTGAAATGTGTTCCTTCTTCTTCTTCCAGTTTTAAACACTACAGCTCCATACTTTCTGACTTGTTTGTGTACTTACAGTAATCTTTGCTACAGTGCGAAAGCACAAAATCTTACCAAGTATTTTTGGTTTAGCTTTTGGTGCAAACATCTAAGCACACTTGAGATAAAACAAAATTAGTTTACAAGTAACCTTCCAGCAAGATTTAGGAGCTTGTTTAAGTAAATAATTTCTTAAAATTGGTTTAAAAAAATACTAATTTGCCTGGCAGATTATTTCACTCATGAACATAAATTGTAAGTGAAATAATCTGCCAGTGGAATAAGTACTTTTTTATCATTAGTCATGAATTCTGTCATGACAACAAACTCCCATGTTTTGCTAAAAAGTTATTTTTCATTTTGTTTTGTTTTTTTTTTTTATTTCTAGAAATTTGCACTAGAAACCAGACCAGAAATACTTAGTAAGATTTTGTGTTTTTTGCAGTGCAATACCATATTTGTGAATTGTTTTATACATGGAAATGCTAAAGGTGGAAGATTAGCAACCATGTCCAAAGAAACAACATTTCATGTTGTAATGTGTGGCGAGTGGCACCTTTAAATTAAAAGTTCTAAAATACACGTTCTACAATGCCATACCTTTAACAATGCGTCATTTTTTTTCTGTAAATTCCAAATGAAACTCTCTTTAATTATAAATAATACATTAATATTCAGGAGATGTAAGGTGTAAGCATGATGTTAGTGTCATAATCCTTAAAATTATCATTTGGGTTTGTTAAAATTTGTATTTAATTGGTAATGTGCACAGAGAGAGCTCTCTGTGCTGAAAGCCTCTGCCTAAAAGCAAGAAGTTGCATTTTATCTTCTGGCCACACGAGGCCGTGCTTGACTAAGTTTATCACCAGGCCACTCTGTTTTTTTCCACTCACCTCTATATACTGGAAGCTCAGTGCCACTATAAAGTTGGCTGTCCAGTTGGAGAAACCAGCTACAGCGATGGCCGACGGCCTGGGTCCCTGAGAGAACAACTCCGCCACGATGAACCAGGGGATGGGACCCGGGCCCATCTCAAAGAACGCCACAAAGGCGAAAATGGCCACAATGCTCAAATAGGACATCCACTCGAGTTTATCCTACAGAAATAAAAGACGAGAAGGAAGATGAAAAATATGCGTGATGCGGAAAGTACATGTTTAGTGTTTCTTGAAAGGCGAGCCTACCAGCAGAGCCAAGGCTATGGTCATCAGGACGGCAGACACGGCCATGCCCATCAGTCCCAGGAGGTGCAAAGTTCTGCGTCCTGCACGCTCCACAACGAACAGCTGAAAAACAGATGAGGAAATACAGTTACACCAAACAGAGCTCGGACAGCTTGGTTCACCGTTATTTCTGGCTGAACAAATTGTATTTGGGCAGATTTAATCTGATCCAATTTAAGCAAATTTAAAACTTATGAATGAATAAAGCAAAAATCAACCCAATCAAAAATAAGATAAAACTAAAATGGTTGAATTTTGAGTGAAGGCAGTGCAGCTGTATGGAAATTACAAACAACTGCAATCCTTTTGCTGACATTTGTGTCTGCAGTCAATGAATGATCATGCAGAGTGGAGTCACTAATCAAACAGAAATTAGTCAAAGGACTTTACATTTACAGTTTGGCTTCAAGCATAAAAATATCCATATATTTTTTATATTGCTTGTTTTAATACATTTAACATTACTTTTGTCATAAGAGCCGATCTTCATGCAGTACTTACAGAAACTACAGTGAAAGCAGTGTTAACAACACCAGCTCCGATGGTGGCATACACTGGCTGTGGAACTTTGGCTTTCTCAAAGATGCGTGTGGAGTAATAGAAGACCTAAAGCAGAAAAACACACAATCCTCATGTCAGTGTCTTCAGGACCTTCCGACATTTACAACACACACAATAGATGCGTAAATATCTAATAACTCACAGCATTGATTCCAGAGAGCTGCTGGGAGAGCTGCAGGATGATGGCGATAATGATGGGCTGGCGATAGAGCGGAGAGCGGAAAAGCTCCGGGATGGTCACTTTTTTCTCCCTCATCATCTGCCGGCTTTCCTCCTTCATCTCCTGCATGTCAGAACTCACGTCTGTCACCCCTCTGAGCTTCTTCAGGACTAAAATGGGTCAAAAAAGGTATTAGTTGTAAATTAAGCCAGATTATTCTTTCTCTTCTTGCCTCTTGGAGTAATTTTAAACCATGCAGGCATATTCCAACATAACTATAGCAACAAGGCATGGGCTGGTTACTAATATCACTAACTTCTAATCTGTAGTTAGGAAGAGATTAATTGGATGAATTGTGATGAATCGATTATTGAGCTAATTGTGATCTAATTTAGTGACTGATCGATAATTAACTGGAGTGTACCGACCCAAAAAAGGCTATTTTCTTAAAAAACAACTAAAGTAAAACTGTACAAAAAATATACATTTTGCATTTAACATAAAAAACCCACTTTTGTCTGTAAATATCTTCTACTCAGAACTCCTCAAGAGGCAGTTTTAGCTTTACATGGTTTAAATTTAGTAAAAAACAAAAATCTCCAAATAATCACGTTTACTGTGCAATAATTAATCGGCTGATCAAAAAAATAGACGATAGATCAACCCTACACTGTATCAATGTTGAGTCAGGCAGAAATGCTGAGTTTTTTATATGCTGATGTTCGAAGTATTTTTTTAGCTACAAATGCATCCTTTGCTACAAATGATCAAGACATAAACTAATGAAATGCTGTTATGGCATTTTAGGCAATACAATTTTTAATTTCTTATTTAAAAAGTAATTAATAATTTGTTTATTTGTATTTTTTTATGTATTTATAGAAATGTTTAAGAAGGCTCCGGTGGTTTAATGACAAATCTGCAGAATGTGCCATTTGGTTTTATCTGATTAATTGATTAATCATTAGAATAACTGATAGAGTAATCAATTACTAAAATAATCATGAGTTTGTTTAAGTCACCTGCTTTGGCTTTGTTCTCTTCATTCTTGTTGATGAGCAGAAAACGGGGGCTCTCTGGGCACAGCGGCAGCAGGATGGACTGTATCACAGCCGGGATGAAGAGGAAGCCCAGCAGCAGCGGCCAAAACTCAGCGTTACCCATGATCATCTCCAACCCGAATATCTGGAGAAAATAAAACAACCAGAACATTATAGACCATCCATCCATTTTCTGTACACCCTTGTCCCTGGTGTGGTCGGGAGGGTTGCTGGTGCCTATCTCCAGCTAACGTTCTGGGTGAGAGGCGAGGTACACCCTGGACAGGTCGCCAGTCTGTCGCAGGGCAACACAGAGGCACACAGGACAAAACCACATACACTCACACCTAAGGGGAATTTAGAGAGACTCCAATTAACCTGACAGTCATGTTTTTGGAGGAAGCTGGAGAACCCAGAGAGAACCCACGCATGCACAGGGAGAACACGCAAACTCCATGCAGAAAGACTCAAGGCTGGGAATTGAACTCAGAGCCTTCTTGCTACAAGGCAACAGCTCTACCAACTGCACCACTGTGCAGCCCCATTATAAACCAGCTGCAAAGAACATGGCAGGACAGCACAGGAACAGGAACATTACACGAGGTTAAAATAGGAGCATCCTCTGATCACCAACCTGTGCAATGAGGATGCCTACGACGATTCCCAGCTGGTGCAGCGTGCCCAATGCGCCTCTCAGGGCTGTCGGAGAGATTTCGCCGACATACATGGGCACAAAACCAGTGGAGAGGCCGGAGTAGAGACCCACTACAAAACGACCAATGATGAGCATTTCCCAAGAGCTGGCCATCTTTGAAAAACCCATCAGAGCAGCTGCGATGAAGGCTAAAATGTTGGCTATGAGCATGGAGTTCCTCCTGTAGAAGTCACAGAACCATTTAAAAGTCATGTCTGTAAATTAAAGAATGGTAAATGAGATGCTATGCTTCGGTGCTTATGGCTCAGGTGTAATTTATTTACCTTCCCAAACGGTTGACAAAGAATCCAACAGAGAAGGAACTAAAAATGCCTCCGACAGAGAACATGGACACAGAAATGGACCAGATTGCTGTGAGGAAGCTCTCGGTGATGGGCTCCTGGTAACGGTCTCTATACGTTTCATTGATGAAATTCTCAATGATCTGTTTAAGAAAAGAACACATTCTTTTAGTGCACAAATATAAATATCACAGATTTATGCTGCGCTTACACGAGGCCGGTGCCTGGAAACTCCTGGTATTTTCAGATGTTGATTGGGAAAAAGTTCCACATTTAAACTGTAGAGGTCGGTGAATCGATCCAAAATATTGATAGCATCGATACCAAGTCGAAATCAGATCAATAATAGCATGGTGTGATCTTTAGTTTCAGATTCCCTCTTGAAATTTCAACTCAACTCTACCTGAAAAAAGATTTTGTTTTGATGTTCTGTCAAATGGCGATGTTTTTGTACTTTGTATTTTGTAAACTACGTAAATTCTGCCCTGAGTTTTAATAAATTATTCAAAGAAAGAACTACAAAAACATCTAAATGTCAGAAGTTTGATGGTGATCGGTATTGGTATTGGCGATACTGGCCACATATTTAATTGGTAGCAGACTGGAGCCAAAATATGAAGTATCACACACCACTATTAGGCAGCATTGCTAAGACACCTTAAGAATTGATTGCACATGAGTTTTGCACCCTTAGCTTCCAAACTTACTAGCTTCCATCTCTTTCTGAACAGTAACCCATCTCCCCTCTCCCATGAATGAAAGTGGTCATGTAACACATATATTCCTTATCAGAAATTGTGTCAAACTGAGCAGAACAATACAGCACATTGTTTTTGTTATCTGTCCATGTATGTGTAGGATAGGCTCTACAGCTGTGCGTTCTGCACATATGCAATTTCACACCTCCAAGGGGGGTGTTACAGAAAGTTAGAGGCTTTCAGGCAGGTTCTCACTGCAAATAGGATCATAGATTTTAATGTTACATAATTAAACACAGCTCCAATTCACGGCAGTGCACATTTCTAATGCGATCATCACAGTTACATAAGTGCCTGAGTCTGATCATGCGCAATGTTGTCCTCCTTCTTAAATCCAAACACAGATGTTGGCAGAGTAGCAACCAGCTGAGGGCGGTACTCTATGTAATCCCCATAACTTCCTGTATAAACCAGGAAGTTTGTCAGTGACACAAAGGAGTGTCAGATTTCTCCTCCCCTCCCCCGTTGCCACAGTTTCTGTCACTAATCACCATGTCAACAAAACACTCCCACGAGCGGCGACACCAGCGTCTGTTTAGGAGTCGTCTCTCATAAGACTCATAAAGGTCACCGCCTAGTCTGAACTTCAGTCAGTCCTGCTTGCCCCGGTTGTGTCATCCGTCTCCTGACCAGAGATCTTAATGCACTGGAAGCTGAGGAGAGGCAAGGGGAATTAGAAAGTCAGCAGTGTCCTGGCAACGTGGTTAAAGAGCGTGGCTATCACTTATCAAGGGCTTTCCTTTGTTGGCAGCACACATGTACACTGACACTGTGACCACAGAGCCTGGGTCATTTACACTATCGACTTACACTCACAAGACCCCGCTTGGTGATATCACAAATATGCTATCATGCGTTGCACTGTACCCATGACCTTCACATACACACGTCTGCCACTTTATTTAGAGGCACAACTTCATGTGCAAAAGTTGCACGTAAAATCATCAATATTGCTTTTTATGCAACCTTTTCAAACCCAAAGAGCCATTTTTGCCTGGAGTTCAGCTGAATAAAACTCAATAAGAGCCACAAAAGTTACCAGAGCTACTGAAGAAAGAACATTTAATACTTATCTACTTTAGGACATGCAGCATTTTTAAACCACGGCCTTTTTTTTTTATTTTAACTTGTAAAACACAAAAAACATCTTTTGCAAGTTTGTAGAAAAAATATAGTGAGGAATGGGGAAGAAGCCCGGATTTCAACCTAATGACCAGAAAAAAAATTATTCAAACTATTAGTAATTGCATTTTTAGTCTCATTCAGTGGAAATGCAAAACAACTTTTCTACGAGAAGAACTAAAACAAATGCATATATCTATATTTAAAACACTATTCAGTTCCTAATTACTTTTAGATCAAATTATAAAGAGCCATTGTGGAAGGTTCAAAGAGCCACATAAGGCTCTTGATCTAATCTTAGAAATATTTTAGTATCTGTATTAGCTTTTTCCTTTCATATTTTTTAAGATTCATATGGCTTTTATTGTTTTACATAAACTAGAAAAATCTGTTTTGAGGCACTTGGATTCCACTTTTCATTGGCATAAAAAAATTAAAAAGAGACCGTTTGACCGTTGAATTATTATTTGGTGTCTGTTTTCTTCTTTTTTTGTTCAGACAGAAAGCAATTAATTTATTCCAGTTAACCTAGCAGCTGTAGCTAGGTCAAGTAGGCCTCGTAGCTGCTGGCTGATTCAGTTCCTATTTTGGGTTTTTATATTAAATACAAAGTAGACAACACTTCAAAAATAGTTTTAAAGCTACCGTAGTTTAAAATACCAACAAACAACATTAGTCAGACATATTTTGCTCAGAGTAGTGATGTGTCGTTTGCAAAAGAGCCTCTTTGTAGCAAACAGGAAGAGTGAACTCCTGCTGCTGAGTGCTGAGTCCTCAGATGCCCCTGATCAGCTCTGCTGAGAATCCACGCACATGAGGGCGGGACTTCACTATGATTGGCTCACACAATAGCCAATCAAACACAAAGACAGTCTAGCGTCATACAATGAGAGAAGGAAGTGGAAGAGAAACTCCAAGGACACATGTAGTGACAGATGGAGGAAATTAAATGTGAAAACTTAACAATAAATAGCATCTGAAATGTTTAAAGTTTCTATATTCCCAAACGCAGATATTATAAGGATCATAGGAGCAATATGCCCCTTCAGAAACTTGTGGCCTTTGAAGAGTAGCACATGTCTGCCAACGTCACATTTCACAGTGCCTACTGACTGACTGTCAGATTCTAAGCATGTAATTAAAACAAAAAATGCTGTTGATGGTAAGCAGTATATTAAGCACGCAAATTGTGGAATCTCAGATATTTAACAGCACAAACAATGCTAAACAACTACGGATGTTTCTGTCGTTTCTAGGGTGAGCTTGTTCTGGCTGGAGCTTGTTCTGAACCCAACCAGTTTGGTTGGGTTCAGAAGGAGGATGCTACAGAACAGTAGGAAACAAGGTCCTTGAGTGCATCTAATCAGAGACGAGGCTCAAGGTCTGCTCTAACAGCAGGATCACTGCGGCTTTTATCAAAAACTGGAGCTGGGGAGAAAAAAGTGGCGGCGATAATCTAAACGGCGTATGCCGCATTCTGGTTGGGTAAGAATTAAGCATAAAAGAGCATCATTTTTCATCTTTCAAGCATCTGAGGTTGCTCAAACCTGAATGTGTGTGAAAGGGAGAGGAGAGTTTTACACTGGGTCAGGTTGTCCCAGGAGAAAGGCATCTGACTCAGCTGACAGCAACATGCAAGGCATTTCATATCTGAGCCATGGGGCAAACAGCCACCATTTATTGAGCTTAGAAAAAAAAAAGTGGCTGTGCTCACAGCTTCAATGTTCTCGAGGCAAAAGAAGAGAATATCTTTAAAGAATGTCCTTTCTGTAAGGAACAACTTTTAGCTCTGTGATACTTATTGTCAACAATAAACAATTTTCTTGGTTTTATGGTTGTAACTAATTATGTTAATGATTGTCCTCTGAAAAAGGCCCCACATTTGAATATTTACTTAGAAATATAACCTCTTTCCACCTGTTTCCCTTTTTAGTGGTTCATGGTATATCGTCAGGAAGTGATTTTATCTCTATCAGACCTGAAAACATTTCTTTTGTTTCAATCAACTTTTAATTTCACAAGAGGCTGAGAAAAGGATGATTCAGCTGACAGGTGATATATCAGGTTTCTGTAAAAAAAAAAAACCTCAGGTCTTCAAAAGGGTAGGTAAAGAAATTCAGGGTGTTTCTTTTACATTTCAAGTCATTGTCAGAGTTCTTCTCCTGATTTCTCCACATTTTTGAAGTCTGTTTAAATCACAGCCTAGAACATTTTTGACAGCATGATAATTAAGGTGTGTTTTATTCTTGTACTGTAAGCAGAAATTGTTAGATGTGAGCATGGTCAAGGTGATAAAAAAATATATCTGACCTGTTTGGCAACCTGTGAGTCATATGAAAAGGCAGCTGTGTGGCTGCAGGGTGTGTCCGGACCAATGCAAAGCCATCTCACAAAAGTTATTTACTTGTGATGAAATGTTTGACATTCCAGGAGAAATTAGTCTCTCTGGTTTCCCAGTCTGTCAAAACCCACATTACAAATGTTCCTCTGGGGGCATGAAGATTTATTTTTCATTATTTTATTTAGCTACAGGGATAGGTAAGTGTTTGCATATTATTTTTTCTAAGAAAAAAATGCTGCCCTTTTCCCGCAGACTGCTGAACAGACGACGTCCTTTTTAGGGCACAGAAACTCTGGTACTAATGTCCTTGGACTTATTAGGACAGAAGAGAGCTACTTTTATCTCTTAAGCCAAACTTTTTCTATTCTGTCCTGACATCCAGTCCTCCAAGCAAACAAATTCAGAGTTAACTAACTAACTTTTTTTTTTTTTTTTTTACAGATATTTAATGCTTTGTTAATTTTTACTATTGGTCTAAAATGGACTCATGTCCTGATAATCTAAGGTTGAGTGTCCAACTCACCTTCTGTGGAGCATTGATGACACCTGTGTTGTATCCGAACTGCAGGGAGCCAATCACCGCAGTGCCAACGCTCATCAACAAGGGAAGCGTTACTTGCTGCAAACAAAAACACAAAGCACAGGTTTTGTATTCAGTGAAAAGACCAGCTCAACCAGTTATTCACCATCTTAACCAACAAACATTCATTATTTCAAAAGCACAAATGACATCAGATTATAAGGTTAAAACAGCATCACTTTACTGAGTCTATTTTATTTGGCTAAAAACTCTGATGCAGCTCTACTTTCCACTTTCTGGGAAAAGTTTTGTCTGATATTGTTTTAGTTATGTTTGTTTTTGTTTGTTTTTGAGAAAGATATTATTCTATGGCTTTTTCTGCATGTTTAAAAGTGGTAGTTATTTGTAATAACGTAGTTCACGGTTAATCCAGATCTGCACATGTTTATAAGAATATTATATAATGTAAGGCTCATAGATAATAAGTAAAAGAATATTGCAACATGTAGCATAAATTATATTTATATATTTAAAATATATATAAAAAAAACAGATTAAGATAAATGTTATGACTGAATAGTAAGGAATGTTTCTTGGTAGCGGTCAGTATGGGATTCTGCTGCTTGATAACCTTGATTTGAACCTTGATTTGGTTTTGTAATAATGACATGTTAATGTCCATATTAAGTCAAAACTTGACTTGGTTATCAATTGCTTGCACAAAAACATTTAACCTTCGTAAGGGTGGCTCAAAATATTATTTGTCTTTTTTTTAAGGGAGATAAAATTGCATTAGTCTTCTTTCAGTCAGCTGATAGGCAGTGTGCAGTAACAGGTAGAGAAGGCTTTTGTCAACATTTCATCTGGGTTCTCACGAAAAGATATTAACCATATTAATCTTACCATATTAACGGTTGCATGTTTGGAAATTTTTACTTTTTGCACTTTGATATCTTTACCAGACCTGCCACTGCTCTTATTACATATTACTTTCAATATTATCCCTCTGTATTGCTTTTTATGTTTAAGGTATTTGACCATGAGGCATATTCAACCCCATGTAGTCATCCTTATTGTCCCTGAACTTTTGACCGGGGTTTTCTATGTAAGCCTCTCTGATGAAAACGGTCCTGGTTAACCCCAGGTGGAGTGATGCTTTGTCTGTGTTCGTGTTCCTGTGATTACAGAGCTCATTTTGAGCTGAAGCTCAGCAGAGCCCCATAGATTAGAAAGGATTTTCCTCATACCAAGAAGTAAATAAAGCATGGTGGGGTATGCTGCTTTCATCTTTCCTCCTGCAGGGCAAGGAAATAGCAACCTTATTAAAACACTATCTGTTTGTCTTTTAGCCACAACGACTTTCTGCAGAACTACGAGTCGCTGTGATTATATACATAAATTGTAAAAGCATTTGCGGAAATTAACATTTTCACTAAAAATAAATAAATAAATTTAAATTGTGTATATTGCCTCAATTCATGGTAACTGAAGGCTTTAATTATTTTAAAGTTTTAAAAAATTCTCAATCATATGTTCTCTGGGTATATGGTGAAACAAAACCCTGTCACTCCCGCACTTGTTGCAAAGCACTGTCATTCAGCTGGCTGAAAAAAGACCACTTAAATTTTGTCTCACTCAACTCCGGAAAAAATAGACAAAACATTCATGTAAGGAAAAAATCTAAAGGAATAACAACCAACTGTCTTAACATGACACTATTTTTAGTGGCCTGTCGATTCAGGAGTTATCTGATCAGCTCGCTCAATCACCAATAAAACATTTTAACTGGTTTGTTATACTTGTGTTTCTGTGTTCTAGGTTATGTCAGTCAAAATAATCTCTAATATAAAAATATAAGTGTAATATCCTATATGATTTAGTTTGTCTGTTTTGTAGAATTTTATGGTAGTTCTACTTTAGGTTTTCATACTGTGAGAACCTCCCATGACTAGTTTTTAACTGTTTTGTCTTTTATAACTCACACTGAGATCATCCAGGCTGGAAAGTTCATGTTGTTTATAAGTCCAGTGCTGTTTCAGTGATTTACTCTGGATAGCTGCCTCGTATTTTGGAAACATAAGACAATCACATGCCTGGATGTCACCTCAAAGGCTTTTTCTAACCTGAGGAGAAATAACCAAGCAGAGGCCTTAGCCACATAATGATATTAAAGTCAAAAAAGGACAAGCGCTCCCTGAGGCTGTAAATAATGACATGCGAAAGTCCAAGAGACAGTTTATTCATTATCACGTGTAGGGTAAGTAATATAAAACACCTTTTGTGACATGTGACTGGAAGTAGCAATTAGAAGTTTGGAAACTATGATTATAAACCTTCAGTGATGACTAAGTGGGTTTATGGGACCCAAACTTTGCCAAGAACATTTCTATCATGCAATTAGAGCAGCACTGTTTGGGGCTTCATGCTGGTGATGCTAAATTCCTCAGGAGGAACCTAAATTCATCAGTTTTTGTTTCGGTAACCAGCCCTTCTGGTGAGTCCATGTTCAACGCAGAGCATGAAGATCCGTTCTTTATCACCAGAAGAACTGAAAGTTATTCTCCGTATTAGGAATTGAGGGAGTGGTGAAAAGTATTCGATACATTATAACTATTTTGTTTGTTTGCTTTAAACTAGGGATACTGATTGGGAAATGTTTAACAATATGGATATTCATTATTAATGCTTACGTTGTGGAAGAAAAGCAATGGTGGGCACACCAACGCACTAGTAGTGGAGCTACGTTTCCGTTAATTCAAATTCAATTCAAATTAAATTAAAAATGTATTTTTTAAGAGGTATAACACTTGTTTTGTTAAAAAAATGACTGACATTAGCCGGTACCAGGGGTGCACAGATTTATCTGCACTGATTTTTTTAATTTTGGGAGATTGGTGAAAAGTCTGAAAACTATTAACTATTAAGGTAACAAACCCAAAAAGTTCTCAATAAAAAGGTACATATGTTTTGTTTTTTTTAAAGTATTTTGAAAAAGAAGCACAGCAGGTGAAACCGAATGCCAAATGTGAATCAGTTCCAGCTGATCTCATTAACAACCAGCTTTTTCTGCCGCAAAGCTAATATGGTCCACTGAGCGGCAAACAAACCAAATTCTTTCTTGCTTTTTCAGAAGGTTGCTCTTTACACAGTGATGACTGCTGTTGTTTCTCCAGAAATCTCCAATTTTGCTGAAATCTTCATAGCAGCCTGGCATTTACATTAAACTTTTCACATAATAAAAACAAGATTATTTTGAAGAAAACCTCTCAGCGTTTCATAAAAAAAAAAGAAAACAGCCCTGAGAAACTATTTCAGATGATTATATAAACTGTTCTCCTCTGAGATATTATGAAAGCACACACCGCTACTTTTAAAAGTGACAGAAGACCTGGCAAGCCTGAAACTGCCCAGTTTTCTCCCCCTAGATCTGATAGTGAAGAAGAAAACCTGTGTGTGGGTTTTTTTGGAGGCTGTCGCTGCACGCTTGTTTTCTATAAAGGACACGTATAAACTGACTCTTACTTTTTCAACCAATAGCGGCTCCCGTTTTCAGGTCATCGAGTTTGTAACATAGTTTGTCAGCTGTATATTAAAACACACACTGACTTTGTTTAGCAGTCTGGGTTTGAGGTTTAAAGCAGGCCTTGGGGTAAATGAGGAAACCCACATTCTGATTCTGAAGGTATATTCTGAAGAACTGCAAGAGCTCTCAGAGAACTACCAGCTGCTTTTTACTATCAACAATGAAATCCTGTTGGTGCCTCTGGGACAAATATATCTATTTAAATCCCTCCTCTCTTCAGGGAATAGATGTATTTGTCCACAAAAGAAAAAACAAAAAACAATCTCCTCAAATGTGGATGTTTGACTTCAGCTACAAACAGCTCTTAGCAGTTAGACACTCTAGCTTTCAACCCTTCAAAACACACAAACTGCACAGGGAATCAAATTTATGAGAAGCGCAGAGTAAAACTTTAAGAGAGAGCATTCTAAAGAAATCCTAACAGTTTAACCAGAACTGACTCTCCCAGATGATAACAAACCCTTCCTTCTATACTGTGAAAATTCATAATAAGAAAATAGGTGATATATTTTATGTTTCCTGGAACTCATAAACAAGAAGGCCAGCATTATACTTTGCTTCCTCACAAGAGAAACAGTGAGGTTACACCCATTAGAACTATCCTACTATCAAAACGTTGAAGCCAATCCCTCTCTCCTCATGCTTCGTGTTACATCCCTGCCATGTTTAATGCAGCAGGAGCTTTCAGATGTGTTTACATTTTCAAAACAAGTGGTTTGACCTGAGCAAGCAGTCACAAGGTTTTTGAATAAACTTTATCAAAGCCCTTCCTGGATCCCTTCATGCAAATGTTTCGCGTTTGCATGTGAAGGTTTAAGCAAGACATAAGTCTGCAAGCAGGACTTTTCTGTCCAGTCAAGGCAGCAGTGCACAAACCACAGCCAACAATGAGCACATGTAAACCGGTACAGTCAGATGAGCAGAACAGGAAGAGTTGAAAAACCAAAGTCAAATCGGTAGATGCTCAGCCATTCTGATCCTTTTTTCAGTCACGTAGAACTGGCTCTTGTTCAGTTGACGCAACAATAAAACGTAGGAGGAAATGAAGCAGGGCAGAAGCCCCGACCCAAATTTGGGCATGTGTAACCACAACCACTGACATAAACCAGCATTTCACTCTCCATCCTCCCGCTCAGCCAGGGGACCTGAAGGGATCAGTGTGCTGAAGTACAGAATCTCCTGTTGATAAAGGAGAATCTCCCTCCTAACATCCTTATACTCTTTGTGCAGTTGAATATTTCTCCTTATCCTGACGGCCGTGAAGATCAAAAAAGGAAATACAGCCCAGGCTGTGAGAATCCAAGCCAGCTGACAGAGAGGTGACGTCAATTCATGATAATTTAATCAAGAAAATGAGGGTTTAGCTACAAAAAGGGATGTCAACAGGAAATCCACAAGTGATTCAACACCTGTTGCCAGATAAGGTCCTTAAAAGCATCCTTTTAGCATCCTCAAAACCTTAAAAAACCTTAAAAATAAGAGTATCTGCGGGCTGTGGCAAGTTAAGTTGAAGACT